CCTTCAAATTCTTAGTTAACAGTACTCTAGAGTACTCATGAATTCTTTTGGCCACAGGCGAATTCAGATAGATAAGGTATGATTCCTTCCTATGAGAGCTCAGAAACTCATGGAGAAGACATAGACATGGACAGGCAAATTATGACATGGCACAGTCGGTATGGCCTTTGAGGTACAGCCAGAGTGAGGTGGGAGCGTAGAGGGGGTGACTAACTGCCTAAGGGAACTGGAAGAGCTTACACAGGAGGCGACATTTGATCTGGGTCAGAAAAGATAAGTAAGAGCAGGGGATGGAAACTATCCAGGCAGAAGAATAGGCTGTGAGGATCACGACGTACGTCAGAGCAAGGTGTGCTCAGGGAAGGATGTAAAATGCTAACAGACAGAACATAGCGGGGCTGGAACAGCCTGGACAGATAAGAGTTAAAGCTAGAGAGGGAGGGTAGGGCCAAGCCAAGATGATGGCATCCTATAGGTAGTGGAGGAGCCAACAGAAGACTTTGTGCAAGGAAGTAGGATCACACTTGCATTTTTAGGAAAAAACCTGGTAATTCTACAAGAGATGCATTAGAGTGGGAAGAAACACATTCCTCTCTCAGTAACACTCTCCAACTGGGTAGGATTTTATTATATTGCTGTTGTTTTTATTATTACTATTATTAGTTGAAATGTATCAAGCACTTACCCGATGCCAGGCACTGTGCTAAGGGCTTTATATGAATTCTCTGGATGTAGGTCTGAGGATGGACCCTCAGAAGCTACTAAGTCATTTCTGCTGTTGTCTGGAGGTCTCCACTATATAGTCTCATTTGAGAAAGACAGAAGGACCTGTGTATTTTTGCCATGCTGAGGACATGTCTAATAAAATAATATTCCTTATTTGTGCATCTGCTTCAACTGAACACACCACAGAAGTGGGGTGTATCCTGGCATTATGAAGAGCCAGCTGTGTCCTTTACTGGACAGGGCCAAAGAAGGTACACCTCAGAGGCAACCACTCATCAGTTACCCTAGAAGTGGGTAGATTTCTCTGCCCTTTGTTCCTTCTAGTTTCACTCTCCATCCAACATATGTACTTTGGATGCCGGAACACACCTGAAAATTGCCTGTGAGTCACCACCCTACAGCCTCCTATAGTGACACAAGCACCATGGCTATTAAGCATGGTTTCTTTCCAAATCTGGGCAAAAAAAGATCCCTGAGGTAATTTGGGAGATAGAGAAAATAAGTATCTATAGGGTGTTATTTTTTGTTTTATAGATACAACTTTCCTCTGCTGGGTTTACATCAGCAGATGGGAAGACTGTGACTGCTATCAGCTGCTGAAAACAGTTTGCCCACCCAGATGGGTGCTGATTTGAAAGAAAGGCACAGGTGGTATGGTTCCCCATAGCCAGCCCTGCAGTTCCTACACTTGGCTTTATGCAGGCACAGAAGGTGGGGCAGAAGTCAATTAATAACATGTGTGATTGATTCCAGGCTGACTCTACCCCGAGGCTACCCTGGGCCTGACAGCCCTACATCCCCTGGAGACTCCCCTCTTCCTCTTAAGGATCAAACAGTGCAGTTTGCTGGAAGGCAGGCAGCAAGGGAGGGATCAACAGTAGGCTCCAATCAGTCACAGACTGCGCATCTCAAAAGTTGAAGCAAGATACTCAAATTGCATCGGCTTTTCTGTACTTCCAAAATCTTTTAAAATCCTAGCAACAGAAATCATCTGATACTTGGAACCCCTGAATACATCTGAAAATTTTACTCTGGTGTCAAAGAGAAAAAATATTTTAATTACGTCAATTTTTAGATGAGGCTGGGAAATTTTTAGATGAGACTGAGAAAGAGGATCCTAGGGCCTGAGATCACTAGGGTCCTGTGGCTGTCTCGTCATTAACACCCTAAACATCTCCATGTCTCATATATCCCCATGTCCCTTTATGGCACACAGACCAAGCTCTCCACACAGAAAACAGCTGGGCCTTTTTAGGGCAAAGTTCCTGCTGTTCTCTTTTTATTGCAATGTCCTCCTCCATAGGTAGCCAGGAGCCCATACTTGACTTCTGCCCTCATACCCGCCTGGCAATGTACTTCAGTAACTCTCTGTTTCCTTCTGCAAAGAGGCTGGAGAGAAATAACCATACACATGTATCTTGCTTATTGGTTTTGGTCTTTAGGAATATGGCTCCACAAAATTTTTAGAACATTGAACAGGTTTACTCAAATTAAGCAGTTAATAGCTGCTTAGACTACTAATTCTTGGGACATTTGAATTTTAGCATTCTTAAAACTAAAAGAAGGACTTTCAAAGGCTGATATCTTAGGCATTATTTCTGAGTAAAGGATCCTGACTAACATTTATAGGTAATTGTGTCAGTCTGATCTTAAATGAAATGGAATAATGGAATTCAAGAATATCAGAGCCAGAAGGGTAGTAATCCAGTGCAAAGACATTATTTATTTTTTAGGAGAGAAAAGAGACCCAGAGAAACGAATGACTTGATGAACTGCAACAGAGACATTCTTTGTCCCCTGTCATTTCTTTCTGTCCTTCTCTTTTGATTAGCTGGGCATATGGCCACCTAAATCCAGACTAGATGTTCCAGCCTCCCTTGCAGCTAGGTATGGTCATCTGCAGCTTTGTTTTATTTAGCCAATGGGCTATAAACAATAGGTTGTGTTTGACTGTCTGGAAGAGTTCTTCTCCCCTTTCCCCTTCCTACTGGCTGAAATGTTGAATTGATGGGTGGAGAGGAGTAGCCATCTTGGACCATGAGATAGAAGCCCTGTGCTCTTTGGTGTGCTCAAGGATAGGAGAGCAACAAAGGAGAAGGGGCCTGGGTATCTGAAACATGGAGTTCTAGACTGACTGCCTTCTAGACTTCTTTATGTGCAAGGGAAATAGATGTGTATCTTTGTTTAAACCATTGTTGAATTTTTGTGTTACTTATTCCTGACCACATGTAAACTGCTATATCAGTAGTCTGGAAAAGTTTTAATTGATTAACATGACTTGATGGAGGAGGGCAGGATGGGTGATGGACAAGGCCTGATTGATCCTTTGTCTAAAAGATAAAATGCTTTAAATATGTTATGTCAAGGGATCTCAAATACGGATTCACAAAATGCTGCATCAGAATTACCCTGGCAGACGTGGGGGAGGGGTGTCCCATAAATCCAGATTCATGGGTCCCTTTCCTGGAGTTTTTCATTTAGTAGGTATTCTATGGGGCCCAAGAACTTATTTTGTTAAAAAAGTTCCTAATATAGTCCTGATATCCAGAAACATTTGGAAAGTATTTGATCTAAAATTGTTCTCTGCTGAGGAGGTGAATCAGAAGCATCAGAAAAATTTTTTTTCTCTCTCAAACATAGATGCCTCCATGGGCACATGAGAATGAGAGATAGAGATAGAGATAGAGAGAGACAGAGACAGAGAGAGAGAGGTGAGAGAGACAGAGATGAGAAAATATTCTGATATTCTGAATTTTGAAATAAGTGATCCCTGAGGCTCTTTGGACCCTCCTCGCCTTCTCTCTGCACTCACCTGGAGTCACATAAATGTCACCTAATAGTCCATTCTCTCTCAAGTTAGCCTTAGTTCAGATAAACCTACAGTGGCTAGTGTTTTTTGTTTGTTTTGTTTTGCTTTGTTTACAGATTACATTTTCTATGGGAGGTGTAGTCACTTTCAATGTGCATCACTACACATTAATGAATCATAAATGTATTTGTGACAAAAAGAACTACCACTTGAAGATTCCAAGGCCTTGCACATCAGAGGTTGAATTTTTTGGTCCATGCAAAAATCTGCAATGTCAGCAGATTCAGGCAAACAGCTGTTGGTTACAGTTGGCCTAAAAGCACTTGGGCATACCAGCAGCCTCTCCTGGCAGCAAAGGTGATGGGCACAGAAACTGTTACCAGAAGGCAGATCATGGCAGGCAGGAGACATTCCAAACAGCACTGAATGGAAAGGGATTATACTAAGCAGCACGTCAGTACCGAGTAATCCTTTTACAAGAGTCACTGTCACATTCATAAATACACACTGCTTGGGAGACCAGTTCTCCCACCTTCTTCTGGGAAACTAGAGGAGTAAGGCCCTCAACCAGGAGGAAGCCTGGCATTCACCAGGCTCTCCACAAATCTCAGCAGAAATCAAACAAAACAGATTGCTAAACTTGGTGAACTATGAAATCTCTTTCAAGAGTTGTACAATTTTATATTTATCTAATAGGAAACTACAGTATAGGTAAGTGGGTGAAAGTAAAAGCTTTCCTCTATCGATTATATATTTGCTTTTATTTTTAAAAGATAAAAATCCTAAATCCCAATATGAAATCGCCAGACAGACATGCATGTGTGTGTATACATGCATGCACACACCCTTCAGAACTTTAATTTCTGGAAATTCTTTCTTAGTTGCCTAGTCCCCACAAGCTCTGGCGGCATCCTGTTGTCCCTTCCGAAAGATTTTATTATGCAAATATTTAGACTAGGACTTTTAAACATCCATGAACGTTTACTGCACTCTCTCAAGTAACATCATGTAGAGGGCTCAAAACATAGAGTCCAGGCAATTACTGACAGGATAGCTATGGGTTCTCATTAATATGCAGTCTCTGGGACCTAACTCTGTGTTTACTGATGGTCTCCTGGTTGACCAGAATTGCAACCAGAAATGAGATGAAACTCTTTTACTGGTTGCTGTTATTACAAAGGGGTCTTGAATCTGTCATAGTGCTCTTTCCATTGTAACCCTTCGCCTTCCTCAGTGACACTCCAGCAATGAAATCCTCACTTCCTGAACCTTCCACATAACCCTGCTACAATGTGCCCTTGATCCAGAGGCTGCTGTCCATGCATTAAAAAAAAAAAAAAAGAGAGAGAGAGAGAAAGAAACGAAACTCTCAGAAGTCTCAGGACAAATTTGTAGGTCATAGAGCTCCTATGGATTAAGTGCCAATGGAATTTAGGGAAATGGAGAGAAAAAAACCCATACTTACTTCATCCACATGCCCAACAGCTCCATAGATTCTCGCCATTTGTCCAATGAGGTAGGGGAATCTCTCAGCAATCTCTTTCAGCATTGGAAGAAAACTGTTCAAAGCCACTGGCTCATAGCCTGCTATCTCTATGAGGATGCTTAGGATGACGTCGTTATGGGTCGAATCCTTCAAATGCCCGATTAGGAAAGGAATACACTTCTGAACCACCTACAGAAAGAAAGGAGAAGAAGAGGGACGAAAGAGAAACAAAGAGGAAATTAATTAAGTCAGAATCAACCTAATATTTTTTGTATCCAATCTGAACTCAACACATTCTGAGATTATTACTCTTGCTGGAACTCAAACAAATCTCCCAAGTCTGAAATTTTAAATTTACAATAAAATTTCAGAGGCTTCAGTTCCTTTTGCTTCCTCTTTAAATCTGCACTCTGCTATTGAAGAGTAAAGGCTGCAAAATGCTTAAATGTTTCTATTCGTAAGTCAAGTTTTGATGTGCTATGTCCTTATCGGTAGTGTTACATTTCCTCCAAACCACCCTGAAAGCTTCAATTTTTTATTTTTATTTTATTTTTGGTGCTCATATACAATAGAGTTTTCCTAAAGACTCACGGAAAACATTATCAAGTAGTGTTCTCAGAAATTGGTTGTGCTGTCCATTATCAACTGTGCTGCATATATTGAGAAGAATGAATTTGACCACTAATTAAATTGAATTGAAAAGCATAGATGGCATTAACAATATTTATTGAATACCTACTATGTACCCAGAACAACTAGAGATTCCTAGAAGTTAGGATACTAGCCAAAATTTTTAACATGGCCTACATACTCAGTCCCTACTTGCCTACTCCTTAGACATCATCTCGGACATGACCACCTTGCTCTCTCAACTTTAGTAACAATGGCATTTTTTTCTCTCTCAAATTCCTCTCACCATGGGACCTGTGCACATATTATTCCCTCTCTGTAATAAAGTCTTCTCCACTACCTCATTTCACCAGTTAACTCCTAATTATCCATAGACTATCAGAGAGTTTCAATTTAAAGGACAATATAAGTATGTAAGAGATCCTTGACGATGACTTTAATCAGAGCCTTCAAACTGGAGAAATATGGTGTGGAAATATTTAATAATAAAAGTAAGGAAGCAGGAAAGAGCTCTTCCATTTTCTTCCATTTTCCATTTGGATCACAAAAATGTAATACGATAAAAATTATTAATTTTTATTAAATAATTATATTATATATTAAATTATATATTAATTAAATAATTATTAAATAATAATAAATAATTATTAAATAATTTCTACCATATTCTCAATATCCTAATCTTTCTTAATTTTTAATGCTTTTATCAATATAAAGATGCAATAATTTGTATTAAGGAGAATGTGACTTTTTTGTGGAATAAAGTCTCTATATTAACACATAGACACATTGCATACTGATGATTTAATGAACTGTTTTGTCTGCTAAAATAAAAGAATTAGAAAGGACAACCTGTGGAAAACTGAACAAAGAAGTACAAACTATTTGCCCATCCATACTTCTACTATGCTTATTTCTTTTGTTTGTTGTTGGTTTGCTGTTTTGGTAAGGGAGACTTGAAATGTAGATTCCAGTATAAAAACTGAATCTGATGCACAGCTCAATCTGCTGAATTCATCCCCTGCCCAAAACCTGCTTTTCCCACCTCTCTAGGCCCAAGTGTCTTCTTTCCCCATAAATGACACAATCATCTGACTGCTCAAGTCAGCAGTCTGGGAATCATTCTTTTTTTTTTTTTTTTTTTTGCGGTACACAGGCCTCTCACTGTTGTGGCCTCTCCCGTTGCGGAGCACAGGCTCCGGACGCGCAGGCTCAGTGGCCATGGCTCACGGGCCCAGCTGCTCCGCGGCATGTGGGATCTTCCCGGACCGGGGCACGAACCTGTGTCCCCTGCATTGGCAGGCGGACTCTCAACCACTGTGCCACCAGGGAAGCCCTAGGAATCATTCTTGACAACTGTTTTTCCCTTATCAGCAGCTTCATCCAAGCAATCACCAAGTCCTATTGATTCCACCCCCCAAGTATCCCACAGATGGGTCCACTTCCCTCCATGTCCATTCATCTATCCATTCACTCATTCACAAATATTTATGGAGTCCTTCCCATTTGCAAGGTACTATTCTAGGTGCTGGAGTTAATGTTTCTAACAGGTCTGACAGGTTCCTGCCTTCATGGAATAACTCACTGTCTAGTAAAGGAGATACTTAGTAAAACAAATAGTTACAAAAGAAATACGTAATTATAAGTTTTAATAAATGTCACATAGGGGAAATACAGGGTGCTGTGAGACACAGTCCCAGGGCCCTGATTTAGGCTGGGGGTCAGGGAAGTCCTCTCAGCAGGGACATTTAAGCTGAGACACTGATCTAGTCACCCTGCACTTGGGTTATTCCAACAGCCTCCTAACTGTTCTCCCTGCCTTCAGTCTTGTCCGTCCAATCCCTTCTCGACCTTGTGGCCACAATGGTGACCCTCTCCTGCTTAAAATACTTCACTAATTTCTCATTGCTCTCAAGCCAGAGGTTCACTATACCTTTTCTGAACTGACTCCTATCCACCTTCTAGACTTAGCTCCTTACCCACCTATTCTACTGTCTCCCCATCCAGATCCCATCACATAACACACTTCCACTATGTTGGATTTTTAAAAAATGTTCTTGACCTGCTAAGTTTTCTCTTGTGTCTGGAATTTTACTCATGTGATCCATTCGGCCTGTAGTTCTTATTGCCCCCAATTTGCTGGATAACTCCTTATCATTCTTGAGGCTTCAGATTAGTTATTATTTCCTTTAAAAAATCTTCCTCAACTCCTCTTCTTTTCCCCTCTCAGTCTCATGTCCCTGCTAAAGCTCCTACCCTCATACTTCCTTCTCATTGCTGTTCCAGTGTCTGCCTTGCAGACTGACTGAAATCTCTACAAGGTCAAGAATCATTTCCATTTTGTACCTATGAATGTATACTCAGTGCCTAGCACAGAGTCTGGCCTGAAAGTAAGTCAATAAATATTTAAGGAACAAATAAAAGGAAGGCAGATCTAAATGATTTTATAGGGTAGTTTTGGGATAACCCCAACTCCCACCCCACACCATAGTACTTGAATAGTTGTACATAATGTTTAAACATATATACTACCATGTGTCATATACAACATAACTAATAAGGACATAAAAGAAGATAATTTTGAGATCACTAGGATCATCCTGTGTATAAATTTAAACTTGATATTCATATCCAGTACTTGCGGAGAAAAGGACAGAGGTAGTTTCTGGTAAATGGCACATATGAATGAACAGTTCAGTAAAGGCTGCCTGTGCATTGGGGTTGACCGTATGTCCTTTGGGTGAAACTATGAGAGGTCCCTGGCACCTATGGCAGAAGTGTCAGCCAGCTGCTCCGGGTCAGGGCAGCATACTTAACCTGAGGCTTTTAGAAATGGAAAACGCTTACACATTTCCTGCCCCATTCTACAAAATTCCATTTCCTAGTCCTTATTCTTCATGTCCTATTCCTGGAACACCTGTGACACGTGCTTCCAGTCATGACAATTTTATTTAAACTCCAGCCATACATCCCAAGCCTATAAAGAAAATTTTAAAAGGAAAAGAAAGAAAAGGGGAAAGGAAGAAAGAAAAAGTAAGAAAGGCAGGCAGGCAGGCTCAGGCAAATATATATACTTCTGGGCAGAGTTGAATCCATAGGAGCAAAGAAAAGAGAAACCCTGAATAATGGGAATAATAATAAAATGTGAATAATGTGAATGAACAAAGGCAGATATTTCTTGAAGTTTATCACTCACATTTAAGGGAAGTGGTGCTTTGGGCTTTAGATATTCTTGGATAAGGAGAAATTATATTTTCCAAACACAGGGCATTTCCTTAGGTTGGTCTCTTCATGGTGCCTCATTGGAGTCATCTCATAACTCAGAGAAAGCCTTCTTTGGCTGAGAGTAGAGTAGCCACTAAGGTAACATAGATGGCTGGCAAAGAGCAAGCTAACACGGCCTTTGTTTAGGCCACAAGCCCCACGCCTTGGACTCTGACAGAGCTTCCAAACTGACCTCCTAGCCTCAAGTCTTTTCCCCTTTCTTCAGCCTCCTCACTGCCTAAAACTTCATCTGCTTATGTCAAAGATTTCCCATGGGGCTTCCCTGGTGGCGCAGTGGTTGAGAGTCCACCTGCCGATGCAGGGGACACGGGTTCGTGCCCCGGTGCGGGAAGATCCCACATGCCACGGAGCGGCTGGGCCCGTGAGCCATGGCCGCTGAGCCTGCGTGTCCAGAGCCTGTGCTCCGCAACGGGAGAGGCCACAACAGTGAGAGGCCCACGTACAGCAAGAAAAAAAAAAAAGATTTCCCATGGCGCATGGCTGGAATCCCAATGCCACGGCATTCTAGGGTCTTCGCTTATGGGTATATTTGCTGGCTCTTCCTCTGTGAACCCTCTGAGCCAGCAACATGCCACTGACCACCCACAGTGTCTTGAATACGGAGAAAACTCATACTTTCAAAGCTGATCTCAAATAGCTCTACTTCTGGGAAGCCTTCCCTCCAGGCTGCTCTAACATACACAGAACCTGAAGCTAGAGAACAAGGGAGGCCCCCAGACCACACACTGAAATATTCTACAGTCTTATACAGTGTTCTATCTTCTTACCTGACACATACACCTTTATAACAATCTGGGAGGCTTGATCTGAATTTAGAATTTTTGGCCCCTGTAGAGGGAACAGGAAGAAATGACCCTTAATCCCCATCTCTTGCCCCTCCCTTCTCTTCCTACCCCTGGCTTTGCCCTCAAGGAGTCTCCTATGCATATATGTGGATACCCAAGCCCACATATGCAAGCTCATCTAGGCTGCCTCTCAGACCTATGGGGTCACACTGTTGGCATGGCCTGTTCTTGGGAAAACAGGCCCAGGGACCAGGCCTTGAATCCTGGAAGCAGGATGGAGACTTACAGGAAGGGGATTCCAAGGTCCCAGTTATCTGGACTATGTCTAGTAGACAGGGAAGTGCATGGGAACTGGGGGCACAGGCAGAGGAGGGCCAACCAGAATAGTATAAAGCAAGTAGCCCAGGGAAGGGTCCTATCCCTGACTTTTCTGGTCCTTCCTGAGCAGAATTAATCACTGCCTTTTCTGTCTCCCAAAGCAGTCTGCTG